GAAAACAATTTTAACCAGCTCTGCTGCCGGAAACATTTTATTCTAAGTAGAAAAGGAAAAATAGGCAAAAGGAGAAAAAAGTATTCAGAATACAATTAGACCTCATTGTAAACAAAATTCTGTTTACAATGCACTGTTATTGGTGTTTAACTTTTAGACTAAACTTTCTAGTTCTTCAAAATACAAAATACTTGAACAACAGTTACAAAATAAAAGGGAAATATTGAACCCTGTTACTGTAAGGATAAAGGCAGAGATAACAGAAGTTTAGAAAAAAAGATACAAGGAAGAATAACTTCTTATATTACAGAAAATTGTGCAATATTGCCCACATTTTAAGTGTTTGTTTTGGGTTGTTTTGTTTTGGGTTTTTTTTCGGGTTTTCTGAGACAGGGTCTCATTACGTAGGTCAGATGGCCTCAAACTCACTGTGTAGCCCAGGCTGGCCTGAAACTCACAGAGATCCTCCTGCCCAAGTGCTGGGATTATAGACTTGTACCGCCACACCCAGCTGGAACTGCCTAATTTTTAGGAATCATCTAATGAATGATTTAAATGACCTGCCAGTATTCTTCCTTAACTTTCTTCACGTGTTTGAAAAAGTATGGTGAACATAATTTTACTGTTCAGTTATGAAGTTGTGAACGGTAAAACAAGAGCAGCATTTTAGCAGCGGTACTAAAAGGGTGGCACTTTTCCCATATCAATGTTATATTTTAAAATATCTTTGGACATTGTATCAGAAAGCAAAAAAATCACAAAGAAAAGAAACTTATTCATTAAGGCAAACACTAAGGAGAAATACTTATATTTTCCCACTGTATTTGTTTATATTTATTTTCTCAAAACGAATTATTTTAACTGACCATGCAGCAACTCTCACCACATAAATGTCTCACTGTCGCGAACCGGCGACGCAGAGCACTGTCCCGCAGTGCCTCAAACCTGAAAGAGCAGCGAAAGAAAAGAAACTTATTCATTAAGGCAAACACTAAGGAGAAATACTTATATTTTCCCACTGTATTTGTTTATATTTATTTTCTCAAAACGAATTATTTTAACTGACCATGCAGCAACTCTCACCACATAAATGTCTCACTGTCGCGAACCGGCGACGCAGAGCACTGTCCCGCAGTGCCTCAAACCTGAAAGAGCAGCGGGGTGGAGATGGGGGGCAATCTCACAACTGCTTTTGCAATTCCAGGACTCTAGGACTTCAGAGCAGAAGTTAAGGGCTCTGCTAACAGCTTTCAAGGGCTTGATAGAGGAAATACACACGCTGGCATAGCTAAATCTTAAATTTCCTAACTGTTCTTCCAAGCCAGGACAACTGGTGAAAACACAGAGCCCTTTTGTCCCTTGAGAAAGAATTGAGACAGCCAAAATAACTGTTTTAGCCCACCTTAGGAGAAAAACCTTCACAAGCCAGATGTGGTGGCACATCTCAGCCTTCGGGAGGCTGAGGCAGCAGGATCGCTGTGAGTCAGAGACCACCCTAGGCTACATGGTGAGTTCAAGGCCAGCCTGAAGTACAAAGGCGGCGTGAGGTGGGGGATGAGACTTCACGATGCCTTCCCCTTCCCGACTATTTCCTTGCTCAGAATCTGTTCTCACCAGCTCTTTTCTAAAGGAGGCCATGGCCTCCCTTTCTGGGCAATCTGTCCACTTTTGTTCCAAGTCGTGAGAAGCCAAGAGTTAAGCCCAACGCTTCCTGGAAGCGGCCCCTCCCCAGACAGCTGTGTCCCTGCCGCACAGCGGTGGTGGCCGCCCCGGCCGGGCGCGGGCC